AAAATCAGGATACCAGTTAAATGGATGCTTGGCTTGAATCAACTCAAGTGGAAAGTTAATGACAAATATAAGAACCATAACCAAAAAGAAGTGTATAAGGCTATGCATCCGAAAGTAATGGGGAACTAGATAGAAATATCTGAATGACAGCAAGACAAAGTGCAGGTCTTCTAAAGAAAAAGATCTGATGTCTTTGTATGCTTATTTTGGTTTGTTTGAACTTGTAGGCTCAAAAAATGTGTGAGAAATCAAACGCTTTCAGGGTGCTATAAACAAATGATGACAAAGTATCCAATACACTTGAAATTCGTAAAAGAAATAATGAGCATTTACATCTGAAATCTTGTAAGATATAATAGTATATACATATATACTTACTTCCCCTTTCGCCCCTCTACCAAAGGCCTGGGAGCTCAAGGGTCCTGCGCAGTATCTTAGCTGTTCCTAGGACTGCGCTCTTCTGGACAGAGATCTCCAAAGTTGTTCCTGGGATCTGCTGGAGCCACTTGCCTAATTTGGGAGTCACCACACCTAGTACTCCGATTACCACTGGGTCCTTCCATGATTGTTCCTCACCTTCCTCCTTATTCTTTGGTTTCTGCTGCCAGAGGTATTCACTGAGCACGCGGTCGTTTAAAGTCAGACTGCTGACTTTAACAGTCTTAAAGTCAGCAGTCTGATGATGAGGAGTACAAAAAAACAAAAAGCAGATTTCACTTCCTGCATGTGCTTAAGTGAGATCATTACAAATACTTCAAAGAACAACACAGCATATGGTGACACAAATTCACACCTTACAAAATGACTGCTGGTTTTTACACAACGTATGAGAGAGTTTATTATTATCGTTTTCATAAATATTATTATTTGTTTCTTCCTCTTCTTGGTCTCACTGTCGAAGATTCTACACTTACAGCACAATTTAGCACAAACGTTTTCTATTCTGATGCTTACCATGAACTTCAGGGGTCAACTGGACCTCATGTGCATGTCTAAATGCTCCGAGTTGCTGCCACGTGATTGGCTGATTAGATATTTGCGTTCATGTGCAGTTGAAAAGGCATGTTTTGTTCTTTTTATATGAGGAGTAAGTGTATACTCATACTCTCTTTTAATAACATGCTATATGTTAAAATATGAAATCTCCAAATTATTTGATTCTACATGAAAAAAACCCATTATTTTTAAATTACTGAACTATTGTTCCCAGGTAATTCTTGATGCAGTGGCAAAAACATTTATTTTTACATCTAGAAGACTCGTCGTGTCTTTATTCTTTAAAAAAAAAAAAATTAATTTAATTTTACGAGATGAAGTCGCTTGTTGCTGCTTTTCCTGAAATGTCCTTCCCCAGATAAAGAGTTGTTTTGTTTGTTTCTTTTTTTTTCAGATATACTTCTTTAAAAAATCTATAATACTAATCTGTATAAACAACAGTAATTAGAAAGCTTAACTTGATCAACTTTCCCTGAATATTCTAACTGTTTATGAAATCCACCTCCACTAATGGTCGTCTATATGACATCATGCTGCTGTTTTGTGAATGTGAACAACTACCTCCATCTCAAAGAACTTTTGATCTTCTTTCTTTTCATCACTGTGTACAGAATTTCTCATTGCAATAACAATAAGAAACAAACAAACAAACATGTTAATAACAAAACTTCTTCTCAAAAGGAATAATGTACTTCTCCAGTGTGACAATCCACTTGATGCCCTTCTTTGACATAAGTTCAATATCTGCAGTATCATTTATTGTCTTCATAAAGCTATAATACAAAATGAGGATAAGAGATGATTGGATGCCTGACTCCAATCAGCTCCATTGGCAAACAATGACAAATACAAGGAACCACAACATAATACAACAAACAAAAGAACAATATCAGGCTAAACATCAGAGAGCAATGTGGAAGTAGAGAGAATTACAATTCACACATGCAGCTATTTCAGATCTTCTTTTGTACAAAGATATACTCGGAAACTGTTGTATGCTATTTTTGATGTGCTTCTATGAAATTGCAAGGTCATAAAAAAGAAGAAGAAGAAAGTTACACATTGAAATAAACAGCAGGTTCAGTTTAACAGACCAGCAAGTTTAGTTCCGCTTGAGGAAGGAAGGGCATTAAAAAGTGAGATACTCGAGATTCTGTAAAGCAGCCAGCACAGCTAACAGGTTAATTTTATAAGTAGGCAGCATTTACATTTAGAATTTGATAATTAGAGTCGAAGGTAATTAATATACTGTAAATTGGCAGTGCTAACACACAATAAAGGCATTGAAGAAGTAATGAGTACATTTAAAATCTAACAGTCAGGGGAAGAAATTACTGTAAGTTCAAAGGTGTACAAACACATTTCGAAGGTGCCACACAGGTGAAGAACACTGTGGTATTTGTCAGATAGAAGTGACCAAATGAATGAAAAAAGTATGAGACACGGTCTGCAGTAATAACAGGGTGAAACATTCATGTAAAAATACTTACAACTGCCCTCCACCTCCTACAGTTTAAAGGAGGAGGTGATTTCAGAGCCCCCGGACATAACTGAGCTCCTCCTGAATGAGCTGTCTGTCAGATCTCTGCTGTAACCAGGCATCAACTTTTTCAGCA